AAGTTAGTTTACAACAAGTGGCTGCCATCGCTCTGTACTCAGCCTCAGCAGATGATCTTAAGATGATACTCTATTTCTTGGACTTCCAAGATATCAGTGAAGGCCCAATGAAGACACAGTAACCTGTTATCAATTTTCTAGAATCTGGACATTCTTTCCAGTCTGAATCAGTATAAGCTTTGAGCTGCAAATCTGAAGTTGATGAGAAGAATAGTCCTAAGCCTGGTGCTTTCTTTATAAGTATCTTGTGTGCAGCATTCATATGCGTTGTTCTAAGAGCTTGCATATACTAACTTAGCAGGTGTACAGAGTATGATAAGTCAGGCGTGGTGATAGTCAGATAAAGCAACTTGCCAACTAGTCTTCTGTATGAGGCTGGATCAGAGAACACTTCCCCTTCATCTTTAGACAATTTGGCATTTTGATCGAATGGAATTTTGGCCGGAGTGACTCCAATCGTTCCTGAATCTGATAGGATATTTAGTGCATACTTTCTTTGACAGATTTGAATGCCTTTATTTGATCTAGCAACTTCTATTCCAAGAAAATATTTTAGATTTCCTAGATCCTTAATTTTGAATTTTTCATCAAAGAGATCCTTAAGAGAATCAATTATCTTCACATTACTTCCCGCAATTATTATGTCATCGACATAAACAAGTATGGCAGTGAACGAATCACCTGTGCTTCTAGTGAATAAGCTATAATCTGTCTTAGATTGTTGAAAACCTTGCTCGATGATGAAGAAAGACAGCTTGAAGTACCACTGGCGAGATGCTTGTTTCAAGCCATACAAACTTTTGTTGAGCTTACAGACCTTTAACGTTTCATTGTTGTGAGGTTCTGAAGTCTGATCAGCTAAGTATCCCGAGGGGATTTCCATATACACCTCCCCTTCTTGATTTCCATGTAAGAAGGCATTATTTACATCAAATTGATGTAAATACCATCCTCTTGCAGCTGCTACGGCTATCAATGTCCTTACCGTTACCAACTTCGCCACAGGAGAAAAGGTCTCGTGATAATCAACTCCTTCTAACTGAGTATATCCCTTCGCCACGAGCCTTGCTTTATGCCTTTCAATGGTTCCATCAGCATTAAATTTGATCTTGTAAACCTACCTACATCCTATAGGAACCTTCCTAGATGGCAAGTCGGTCACGATCCAGGTTTTATTTAACTTAAGAGCACATATCTCATCCTTCATAGCCTTGCACCACTCAGGGATTTTGGCAGCTTCCTGATAAGTTTTTAGTTCAGAGTGCACAAGAATGGATGATGCGAAAACTTATGATGTTTAGATAATTTTTGATATGAAATTGTTGCACAGAGGGAAAGGGGTACCTGAAGCTATAATTCCTTTCTCCTTTTCAGACTTTTGAGAATGGGTTAGCAAGGCACCTTGTTGGCAAATAAAATCTTGCAAATAAGTAGGTGTTTTCCTGCTTCTTTCAGACCTTCGAGGAACATAAGAGTCATTGAGGGATTCAGGTTGAGATGTAGGTTCAGGACTAGGTTGATTACTCTCTAAGGTTTCTATGTTTCGATCAGTTTCTGGATCAGATTCTACTGGCAATTGAAAATCAAACGAATGAGGATAGTCTAAGTTATCATTGATAGGTTCTGAATAGGATAGCTGAGTAGGAGTAGGCAGTTTATGATTGATATTTAAATTATCAACATAGTCCTGATTTTTGCAGTTTTGAAATGGGAAATTATTTTCATAGAATTCGACATTTCTTGATATAAAAATCTTGTTATTCTCTAAATCAAGCAATTTGTATCCTTTAGTTCCAGAAGGATATCCCAAAAAGACACATTTCCTTCTCCTTGAATCAAACTTGTGCCTATTTTGTGTAAGTGTGGTAGCAAATGCTAAACACCCGAAGACTCTGAGGCTATTGTAGGTAGGTTTGTTTTTTAAAAGGATTTCAAATGGAGTCTTATTATCCAGGGTAGGTGTTGGAGTTCTGTTTATCAAGAAAACGGCAGTTAGGATGAAGTCACCCCAATATTTCATAGGCAATCCACTTTGGAATTTTAGTGCTCTTGCTACATTCAATATATGCTGGTGCTTTCTTTCAATGACAGCGTTTTGCTGAGGAGTTTCAACGCATGAAGTTTGGTGTATTATTCCATTGCTAGAATAAAATTGTCTCAAGTTAAACTCTCCTCCATTATCAGTCCTAATTACTTTAAGCTTAGAACAAAATTGTGTTTCAATCATAGTATAAAAACTTTGCAAGGCAGCTGAAGCATCAGATTTCATTTTCAATAAGTAGACCCAAGTGCATCGACTGTGATCATCTATAATAGTAAGAAAGTATCTTGATCCTTCATAAGAAACATCAGTACAAGGTATCCACAGGTCACAATGAACTAAAACGAAGCACTTTTCTGATCTGTGATTGCTAACATTGAAGGGTATCTTATGAAGTTTAGCTAAGGGGCAAATATGACAAGGCCTCATGGTGNTAAGTTCTGGCAATTTCTGAATCAAGCTATCAGGGGAGATTTTATTTTGCACTAAATGATATAAGCCCTGCCTCATTCACCCAGACCAATCGTCTTCCAAGTTGAAAGGTCCTGCATAAAACACAGATCAGATGAAAAAATGAGGCAGCAATTTGATGTTTTAGCAAGCTTCCTAGCAGATATTAGGTTAAATGATAGATAAGGACATTCGTCCTAATATAACATTGTTTAATATCTTAATAGATGCACTTTATAAGGAGGGGAAGACTAAGGAAGCTAATGGCCTATTAAACTTGATAATTCAGAGGGGGTGAAGAGCCATATTGTGCTACATATAATATATTGATGAATGGACTTTGCTTAGATAATATGATTGATGATGCAAGGGAGTTATTTGTTTTGATGGAGGTTAAAGGCCATAAGCTAGATGTTGTAAGCTACAACGTGTTAATTGGGGGGTATTGCAAGTCTCAAAAATTGGAAGAGTCTACGAGGCTTTTCAAAGAAATGGTACTCAAAAAATACAAACCAGATGTTATTACTTTTAACACTTCGTTTATTGGTCTATTTAAGTAGGTAGGGTTGAGGATGCACGGGAGCTTTTTGCGAAGATAAAATTTCACGAACTCATTACGAATTCTGCTACTTATAATATATTATTGAATGGATTTATCAAATATAATTGCTCGTAGATGCAATGAAGTTTATTCGCACTCGAGAAAGATCTGGTCTCAATCTTGGCATTGACACCTATAATTGTGTTCTTGATCGATTATGGAAAGCAGGAGAACTCAATTTAGCTAGTGAGCTATTTGAGAAGTTGTCTCATAAGGGCTTGGTACCAAACGTTGGTACATATAACATCATGATTAATGGCTTTTCAAAACATGGAAATATGGAAAAGGCAAATATTTTGTTTTTGAAGATGGAAAAGGAAGATTGTACACCTGATTTGATTTCTTTTAACACGCTCATGCAAGAATTTTGCAATCTTGACGAGGTATCAAAAGTGGTTGAATTTCTTGTGAAAATGAGGGAGGGAAATATATTCCCAAGTGATCACACGATATCATTAGTTGCTAATATTTTGTCCAAAGATGCAAATTATTCGAAATATCTAAGCTTGATTCCAAAATTTCCGCCACTGATGTGAAAGATGTATGAAGCTCACGTTAGACAAAAGATATGGAATGTTGTAAAAACTTATTGTAATATTGTATTATGAAGCACGGAATATGGGCTTGAGGATTTGACAGCTTACGCCATGAATGTTTAACCTTCAACATTATCAATAGTATTCATGTCTGGATTTCATCTACTTGATATCACCATCAATTACAATTAATAGGTACTTCAGGAACGCTTTGGGTGGTAATGGAGAAGCCTCTTCTTCTTCTTCCAGCAGCGAGGACAGCCCTTCAAATCTTCACGTGAATGCAAGTGTACTTGTCCATATAATGCACAAAATATTTTAACTGAACATGGAAATAAACAAAGAGAAAGTCATCTTTATCGAATTACTGTATTATTTAAAGGAGATGTGAATTGGCAAGTGGGCATGTCTTTTCCATTGAAAAGACATATTAGCAAAAGTTGACAAAAAAAAAAACCATTATTCTGGTCTATTTGACCAACTATATTACTAAAAAAATTCAAATCCCACAAAATAGTTGAATTGTTATCATAATTAGGGCTGTCCGTGGGTCGGTTCGGTTCGGTTCTGAAGATACCCGAACCGACCCAAAACTTTCGGGTATTTAATAAATGGACCCGTCGGGTCCAAATATAATTATGATCCACAGCACAAATAATTCTTCATTCAGTCTAAGTTAATGTCTCCATTGTTTAAATACAAATTTTCTTTTTTACTAGTAGTAACAATAAGCAGAAATTTCATACTCTTTAGAATGTTCATGTATATAGTTCTTCATAAAACAATTTGACTAAGAAATGTAATTTAAGATTGGATTAAATGGGCAAAGAAAATTCATCTGCTGTATGAAATATTTCTTATTAATGTATTGAACAAAGCTACAAAGATATAAATAAGTAAAATTACAACAACTTGCTTAGATGGCAATAACCGAAATCTGTTACATAACAAAATGGAATCATTCTCAACTTCCTTCAGCTAGTGCTAGCACTTTCTTCACCCCAACAGCTTCCAGCAGCTTCCAGATCCTTCTAGCATTTCCAGCTTTACGTTTTGATCTTCAACAGCCCCCCTCAAGGTGGTGAGTAGATGTCCTTTACTCCCATCTTGGACAAATGTGAGTGGAACACGGCAGAGCACAGAGGTTTAGTAAATATGTCTGCAATTTGTGAACCAGTTCTTACATGCCTTGTAACAATACTTCCTTCCTGTATTTTATCTCGAATCAAATGACAATCTAACTCAATATGTTTGGTTCTCTCGTGAAATACCGGATTGGCTGCAATGTGCAAAGCCGTCTGATTATCACAGAATAGCTTAGCCGCTTGTGGGTGTGGGATTCGCAAATCATTGAGAATGTATCTAAGCCAAGTTAGTCACAACAAGTGGCTGCCATCGCTCTGTACTCAGCCTCAGCAGATGATCTTGAGATGATACTCTGTTTCTTGGACTTCCAAGATATCAGTGAAGGCCTAATGAAGACACAGTAACTTGTTATCGATTTTCTAGAATCTGGACATCCTCCCCAGTCTGAATCAGTATAAGCTTTGAGCTGCAAATCTGAAGTTGAGGAGAAGAATAGTCCCAAGCCTGGTGCTTTCTTTATAAGTATCTTGTGTGCAGCATTCATATGCGTTGTTCTAGGAGCTTGCATATACCGACTTAGCAGGTGTACAGAGTATGATAAGTCAGGCCTGGTGATAGTCAGATAAAGCAACCTGCCAACTAGTCTTCTGTATGAGGCTGGATCAGAGAACACTTCCCCTTCATCTTTAGACAATTTGGCATTTTGATCGAATGGAATTTTGGCCGGAGTGACTCCAATCGTTCCTGAATCTGATAGGATATCTAGTGCATACTTTCTTTGACAGATTTGAATGCCTTTATTTGATCTAGCAACTTCTATTCCAAGAAAATATTTTAGATTTCCTAGATCCTTAATTTTGAATTTTGCATCAAGGAGATCCTTAAGAGAATTAATTATCTTCACGTTACTTCCAGCAATTATTATGTCATCGACATAAACAAGTATGGCAGTGAACGAATCACCTGTGCTTCCGGTGAATAAGCTATAATCTGCCTTAGATTGTTGGAAACCTTGCTCAATGATGAAGAAAGACAGCTTGGAGTAGCACTGGCGAGATGCTTGTTTCAAGCCATACAAACTTTTATTGAGCTTACAGACCTTTAACGTTTCATTGTTGTGAGGTTCTGAAGTCTGATCAGCTGAGTATCTAGGGGGGATTTCCATATACACTTCATCTTCTTGATTTCCATGTAAGAAAGCATTATTTACATCAAATTGATGTAAATACCATCCTCTTGCAGCTGCTACGGCTATCAATGTCCTTACTGTTACCAACTTCGCCACAGGAGAAAAGGTCTCGTGATAATCAACTCCTTCTAACTGAGTATATCCCTTTGCCACGAGCGTTGCTTTATGCCTTTCAATGGTTCCATCAGCATTAAATTTGATCTTGTAAACCCACCTACATCCTATAGGAACCTTCCCAGATGGCAAGTCGATCACGGTCCAGGTTTTATTTAACTCAAGAGCACATATCTCATCCTTCATAGCCTTGCACCACTCAGGGATTTTGGCAGCTTCCTGATAAGTTTTTGGTTCAGGGTGCACAAGAATGGATGATGCGAAAACCTTATGATGTTTAGATAATTTGTGATATGAAATTGTTGCACATAGAGGGAAAGGGGTACCTGAAGCCATAGTTCCTTTCTCCTTTTCAAACTTTTGAGAATGGGTGAGCAAGGCAGCTTGTTGGCAAATAAAATCCTGCAAATAAGTAGGTGTTTTCTTGTTTCTTTCAGACCTTCGAGGAACATAAGAGTCATTGAGGGATTCAGGTTGAGCTGCAGGTTCAGGACTAGGCTGATTACTCTCTGAGGTTTCTATGTTTCTATTAGTTTCTGGATCAGATTCTACTGGCAATTGAAAATCAAACGAAGGAGGATAGTCTAAGTTATCATTGATAGGTTCTGAATAGGATAGCTAAGTAGGAGTAGGCAGTTTATGATTGATATTTAAATTATCAACATAGTCCTGATTTGTACAGTTTTGAAATGGGAAATTGTCTTCATAGAATTCGACATTTCTTGATATAAAAATCTTGTTATTCTCTAAATCAAGCAATTTGTATCCTTTAGTTCCAAAAGGATATCCCAAAAAGACACATTTCCTTCCCCTTGAATCAAACTTGTGCCTATTTTGTGTAAATGTGGTAGCAAATGCTAAACACCCGAAGACTCTGAGGCTATTGTAGGTAGGTTTGTTTTTGAAAAGGATTTCAAATGGAGTCTTATTATCCAGGATAGGTGTTGGAGTTCTGTTTATCAAGAAAACGACAGTTAGGATGAAGTCACCCCAATATTTCATAGGCAATCCACTTTGGAATTTGAGTGCTCTTGCTACATTCAATATATGCTGGTGCTTTCTTTCAACGACAGCGTTTTGCTGAGGAGTTTCAACGCATGAAGTTTGGTGTATTATTCCATTGCTAGAATAAAATTGTCTCAAGTTAAACTCTCATCCATTATCAGTCCTAATTACTTTAACCTTAGAACAAAATTGTGTTTCAATCATAGTATAAAAACTTTGCAAGGCAGCTGAAGCATCAGATTTCATTTTCAGTAAATAGACCCAAGTGCATCGACTGTGATCATCTACAATAGTAAGAAAGTATCTTGATCCTTCATAAGAAACATCAGTACAAGGTCCCCACAGGTCACAGTAAACTAAATCGAAGCAGTTTTCTGACCTGTGATAGCTAGTATTGAAAGGCTTCTTATGAAGCTTAGCTAAGGGACAGATAGGACAGGGTTTTGTGGTGTGTTTGAGACTGGAATTTTGATGTAGGTTGGTCAAATGTAATCTAGGATAAGAAGGATGACCCAATCTGTAGTGCCACAGGTCATAACCTTCTTGATTAGCAGCAGCAGACATGGATATTTTGTTGGTGAGTTCTGGCAATTTCTGAATCAAGCTATCAGGGGAGATTTTATTTTGCACTAAATGATATAAGCCCCGCCTCATTCACCCAGACTAATCGTCTTCCAAGTTGAAAGGTCCTGCATAAAACACAGATCAGATGAAAAAATGAGGCAGCAATTTGATGTTTTAGCAAGCTTCCTAGCAGATATTAGGTTAAATGATAGATAAGGACATTCGTCCTAATATAACATTGTTTAATATCTTAATAGATGCACTTTATAAGGAGGGGAAGACTAAGGGAGCTAATGGCCTATTAAACTTGATGATTCAGAGGGGGTGAAGAGCCAGATTGTGCTACATATAATATATTGATGAATGGACTTTGCTTAGATAATAGGATTGATGATGCAAGGGAGTTATTTGTTTTGATGGAGGCTAAAGGCCATAAGCTAGATGTTGTAAGCTACAACGTGTTAATTGGGGGGGTATTGCAAGTCTCAAAAATTGGAAGAGTCTACGAGGCTTTTCAAAGAAATGGTACTCAAAAAATACAAACCAAATGTTATTACTTTTAACACTTCATTTATTGGTCTATTTAAAGTAGGTAGGGTTGAGGATGCACAGGAGCTTTTTGCGAAGATAAAATTTCATGAAGTCATTCCGAATTCTGCTACTTATAATATATTATTGAATGGATTTATCAAGTATAATTGCTCGTGGATGCAATGAAGCTTATTCGCACTCTGGAAAGATCTGGTCTCAATCTTGGCATTGACACCTATAATTGTGTTCTTGATCGATTATGGAAAGCAGGAGAACTCAATTTAGCTAGTGAACTATTTGGGAAGTTGTCTCATAAGGGTTTGGTACCAAACGTTGTTACATATAATATCATGATTAATGGCTTTTCAAAACATGGAAATATGGAAAAGACAAATATTTTGTTTTTGAAGATGGAAAAGGAAGATTGTACACCTGATTTGATTTCTTTTAACATGCTCATGCAAAGATTTTGCAATCTTAACGAGGTATCAAAAGTGGTTGAACTTCTTGTGAAAATGAGAGAGGGAAATATATTCCCAAGTGATCACACGATATCATTAGTTGCAAATATTTTGTCCAAAGATGCAAATTATTCGAAATATATAAGCTTGATTCCAAAATTTCCGCCACTGATGTGAAAGATGTATGAAGCTCACGTTAGACAAAAGATATGGAATGTTGTAAAAACTTATTGTAATATTGTATTATGAAACATGGAATATGGGCTTGAGGATTTGACAGCTTACGCCATGAATGTTAACCTTCAACATTATCAATAGTATTCATGTCTGGATTTCATCTACTTGATATTACCATCAATTACAATTAATAGGTACTTCAGGAACGCTTTGGATGGTAATGGAGAAGGCTCTTCTTCTTCTTCCAGCAGCGAGGACAGCCCTTCAAATCTTCATGTGAATGCAAGTGTACTTGTCCATATAATGCACAAAATATTTTAACTGAACATGGAAATAAACAAAGAGAAAGTCATCTTTATCGAATTACTGTATTATTTAAAGGAGATGTGAATTGGCAAGTGGGCATGTCTTTTCCATTGAAAAGACATATTAGCAAAAGTTGACAAAAAAAAAAACCATTATTCTGGTCTATTTGACCAACTATATTACTAAAAAATTCAAATCCCACAAAATAGTTGAATTGTTATCATAATCTGGATATAAACTAATTAGATAGAATTGGACACAATATTGACATTGTATCTCATATTTATAATCCATTTTAACGTATGGTACATATCCTACAATTTTTCACGAAGCAGTAGAATCCATATGATATGTTCTATATGCTTAACCATAAGCATTATCATTTATTTTTAGACTAAAAATACAAGCAATTTTAAGAACAATACAAACAGTAAATAAGGAAACAATTTTAAGAACAATACAAACAATGTAAAAAATTATTTCAACCATCATAGCCAAACAGATCCCAAGAATGCTCCCATTACACGAGTTGAGTTGTTGGCCTTGCTTTGCTAAGGTGGTTTGAGCAAGTCGTGTAAAGGTTTGCAGAATCGGTTGGGTTACCGGTTACCCTTGATGATGTGGATGTTCATGATACGTTAATTTCGAATATGACTTGGCTCGCCGTCACATCCATAAGGACTAGAGAAGGAAAGCAGGCTAAAAATCAGAGATCGGAAAAGGGAGAGATGATGATTGATCTATTGAATGTCAAGCGTAAAAAATTAATGTTCTCAAACGCACTACCAACATGTGGGGCATCTTAAAGATTCCAATTCAACTGAATATAAAAACAACGTATAAGGACCGAGCTACTCATGGTAAAAAAGTTGACGCGAGAGAGGAGGGAGACTGTTGGACTACTGGGGTTAGGGCAGAGAAAGGAACTCATGAATGTGGGAAGAAACCAACTCAACATAAAATATGGGTGAATAAAGTCAATGGTCAAATAGAATGTAATTAAAGTATACACAAACAAAACTGCAGTCATCTACTTCAAACGACTATTTGCATCATCAACAGTCCAATTTCTGGGTGTGCATGTTTCTGCAAAACATAGAAGTACAATAAAAGGCTTCATTAACCAAGCCACTGTTGGCATTTACGATCTCCACTTCCTCCCACGGAATGTCGAATGCTGATCTTCTCGTTTGCATATTTTTCCTGAAGCCACTCAAAACCATTCACATCAAGCTTCCCGGATACAGATTTTCCATGCTTTCTACGAGTTTGTTGTTCTCGAATCGAAGCCCAAAGATTCCCAATGGCATCCCTTTGTCGGGCTGTGAATCTTGAAACATTATCAAATGCATGCTTTGCTAAGATGTCAATAGCAGTTTGGCACCTGAGACAATAACGAAAGATGCATTAGCAAAAAGATATGAGAGGACTGTTTGGCTAATAACTAATGGATGTTTCAGTAAGGATCATGCTACATGTACCGAATATTTTACCTACTACTCACAATAGGAAAGGGGATCACATTGTCGAAATTTTTAAATACACGCGAGCCCCGCGCATTATGTGAGAGGGGGTAATCCATTATGTACAAACCATTATGTACAAATAGATTAACCCTTTTAGTAAACATGGTTGTCCAAGCTTTCAAAAAAGTGAAATTATTTTTTTCAAGTAGTTTTCTCCAAACAAATTTAGACAACTTACTTTTTCATACTTTCCAGTAAAAAGAAAAATGTAATCTCATGAAAGTAACTTTAACCTTGTTTATTTTCAAATGAGTAACTTAGTTCTAACTTCAACCTAGAAAAAATTTATTTATTTTCAAACTTATTCACTTAATTATAACTTTTTAAGCTTAGCCAAACACACACTAAGTAGACTAATGTTTAACCATGGGATTTTGTATCTCTTAGCAGCAATCTCCAAACAAGAAATCAAGCCCTCCCTCTGTAACTTGAGGAATACCCTGTTCTCTTCCTCTTCTTCCTTTCGACCATTGGTTACTGCCTCCCTTTTCTCCTGTGAACTATCGTCCTTAGAATTTGTTATCAGGGCATCCAGTCCAAATGGATCAGGCTCTTCCTCATTTGTATGTCCATCTGTACTTGGCACCGCCGACTCTTCTTTCAAAGCAACAGATTCTTCCATATCATCATTCTCACTTGCAACAGGAAGACCAGATATGGCCTCTTTTATTCTACCAGTTGCTTTTGAAAACTGAAAAATGTCCCAAAGCAAATCATGTAAGATCCTCAGCAACAATCGAGTATAATAAACTGAAAAAATGAACATTTCTACCAATTACCATCATAATCACCAACATCAAGTTTAAACATTAAATTATAGGCAAATAACGGACAATGAGATTGATGTGGCCTCATGTAGTTACTGACTTTATTGGATGTTTCAGATTGGTCGAGCTGAGCAGCAAAAATAGATTCATGTAGCAGGCCCAAAATTATTTGGAATAAGACCTAGTTTGTAGTATTTGTTAAAAGACAGACTGGATAAGTGCACTTCAACTGGGCATAATGGTCCACTAATAATGAGAGAAGGAGAACAGTTTTAACAGCCATACTCAAGAAAAACAGCATTGAAACATTTATAGTTTCCAGCATCACAACAGAACCTTAGTCCAGAGAAAAGGTACATCAAGATTTCAAGCAAAAGGATAACAATAAGACCTACTCAATCAATCTTCAAAAAATTCAGAGACGTGGATGTTACTATCTATATCGAACGACGTAGATTCAATTTTTTTTTTTTTTTTTCCAAATTGTAAAGGATAAGCCACTAAGTTTTAGGACACTAAACTTAAAATATCCAGGAAGGGTATAGATCATCATTAATGTATTGAGAGAAAATAGAAGATTAGCTGCATTAAAATAACTGAAGCACAGGTCCTAGTTGGGAGTTCCCCTTCGGTCAAGGAGTTTGTCAGTAATGAAGGAACATTGCTACATGAAATTTCAGATTTTAAATTGTTCAAGGTTCTAAACCTTCAATAAAAACACAAATAAGACTTGGCACTCTAGCATGCTGGAATCTTCACTTCTCTTGCTACTGACAATTAGAGCTTAGGTATAAGGTTATCTTCAGTAGCATCTTAATGTTTCTTAGTTCGTTCTTTAAAGTGATGTATTAGTTATTTTCTAACAAATGGAGATTTTGAGTGTGGAAAACTCTCATGAGCTTTCACAAATAGGAGCAGGAGTAGGAGCAAGCTAGTTTTGGATGAGTTCAATAGTTCAGAAGCTAAAGGGAATTGAATGAGGACCAGATGGATATACTGGTCATCTTAGTAAGGCCATACATGAGCCATTTTCCACCAGACACTTGATAACAAATTCAAGTTGATTTAACTGTTGGATCAAAAGCAGATGAACTGCAAATATTAATAAATTCAGACTTGGGAAATAGACAGTTCACAACCATAAGATTTCAGGTTAACAATGAACGCGGCAGAAATGGGAAATATGAAAGATGCTTAGATTAAGCATTTTCGTACAGTATATGAGAAAGTTTTGGATGAGTTCAATAGTTCAGAAGCTATAGGGAATTGAATGAGGACCGGAGGGATATACTGGTCATCTTAGTAAGGCCATACATGAGCCATTTTCCACCAGACACTTGATAACAAATTCAAGTTGATTTAACTGTTGGATCAAAAGCAGATGAACTGCAAATATTAATAAATTCAGACTTGGGAAATAGACAGTTCACAACCATAAGATTTCAGGTTAACAATGAACGCGGCAGAAATGGGAAATATGAAAGATGCTTAGATTAAGCATTTTCGTACAGTATATGAGATAAATGAAATTTGAATTCTAGGGTTGGTTTAGCCAAACCAAGTGTGCTGCTACCTAAAAACACCTAAAGTTTGTCACATTAGCAGCAATGACTATTGGCATTGCATAAATCCCAGTTCAGTTGGAGAATAGAAACAAGGGTGGAAAGGGAAGAAGAAAATAAGTCAACAATCAAAATAAAAAGGAAGGGTAAACCAGAGGGAATCATGGAATATGGAGGAAAATGAAGGAAAGCCTCACTACAAGAATATCTTCTATATATTAAAAGTGGCTATGTAACGGAATTTCTTATTTTTAACGGAAAAACTAACGGAATTTGTTGTTTTAACGGACTATGTAACGGAAT